GAAAAATAAATGATGTCACTGTACGGTATAATAATCAACAAGTCAGCTGAGTATTTAAACTTTCTTCGTTCCAAAAGTGAGATGAGGCTTATATGAAAAAATTTTTGTTATTCAAAATAAAGGATTTGTAAGATGTATGTTTGCAACTGGTGTGATATGCAATGAAATTCCGTTTGATGTTTTAAGGTGATCATAAAATCTTAAATACTAACACAGATTTGTGAATCTGAAAGAATGGTTAGTATCCATCTGAGGCTGGTTTTGCCTAGAGTAGTTATGTATTCAAAGTGTGTGCTTGTGTTTTTGCCTTTTATTTGTATATGCAAATAATCTAGTTCATTTCTGTTTTCCCATCATCCATTGCAGTGTGCTCTTTAACAGCTTGAACAGCAAGATCTCTAATCTTGAGTCACAATTGTATCCCAGAATTCAAATTGGATCAGCTTGGTGATTGACGGGGAAAATAGCTATTAAACGAAAAAATTATATGTGGCTGTAGGCTGCTTCTAAAGTCACAAACTGGAACTGTCACCTTCATTTTTATTTTGTTCTTAAAATGGGAATTTCATTTTACCAAATTACAAATTCCATATCTAAAGTAAGAAGTTTTTTGATTATCATTTTATCAATTTACGATTTTTTTTTCTGTCATTGCTGTGCTAGGAAATAAACATAACCAGCATTGAAAAATATTTACTGTGTGTCAGTGACATGTCACATTGGGTGAGAAGACACACTTGTACATTATGTACTGTGATGTCATTGTGCAGGACAGTGTTGACTGATGTTCGTATGTAATCATCTTTATCACATATCACCGTACATAGGTATTAAAATTTGTATACCCAAGCTTACGTTCATCTTATAAATTTGTGTTGAAAACCTGTGATCAGTTATCAGTTACGTTTTCTATGTAAACAGCTACTGTGTACATGTATACATATATCATATTCTTGTGAAAAACAAATATTCACGAGTATATATATCTTGATATATATAATGCAATTGCCAAATTTGAATAAAAACTGACAAAGCATGTCTTAGATACCATGTTTTCTACACACAAAAAAAGTCTGCCAGTCGGCCAAATATCTAATTTGACCATTAACTTATTTTCCTGATGTTTATTAATATTTATAAATTTCAATTCAAACAAAAGGTTTCCATTGGCCAAGGTTTTCAAATGCTATTGAAATTTATTAATATTTATAAAAACTAAGGGAATAGATTTGTGGTCACTATAGTATCATTTTAAAAATTATATTTACTTTTTTACCAATTCGTATTAGTAGGGGTAGGAAAACAATAATTGGTGATTTTATTTATAATTTATTTAAAACATCATTTAAATGTGTTCCAAACTGTGACAGTTAAGAGATGTTGTTGGAAATAAGACATTCCACTTATCGTCATCCCATGGTGCTGAAACCATTAAGGTATTACTATATGTTATGTGTTTGAATGCTACTAACAATATTTTATGATTTCTGTTGTAAATGTTTGCCAAATTTTGAAGAATTTAAAGAAGGAGATTATATTAAATATGCAACTGCTGATATGAATGGTACACCTAAGATAAAAATGGTTTCTAGATCTCATTTGGAGCAACAGACATACAGCTTGTCTTACATTCTCTCCTGTCATCTCGTTAACGGTTTCAAATGCCATAGATACACAGATCAATTAAACAGTAGACAAGCTCAACAATAATGAATGGAACTCTATTTGAAGGTATAAAACAAGATGTGTGACTCTCGTTCTCTCAACAGCTATTTGTGTCTGGGACATGTTCTCTGTACTCGGACACACACTTATATTATATCTATGAACTGTGCAATAAATATCTAATTACTATTATGACTTCATTGTCAATTGTCATTTACTGTCATTCAGTCATTTTGGGGTAAACTACGTCTTGTAATAACCTGATTATTATATATCTTTTTTCTGCTTGTAATAATTTAATGAGAGGTGCAGAATAGCAATTCAGATATTCAGTTACATTTTTTAAATCTTCATCATCATATGAAATACCCACCACTTTCAGCGATTGTGTGTAGAATTAGTTGTATTTGGTGTAGGGTCAGTTGTATTTAGTATTGGTTGCATTTGCTCCTGGCTTAGTTACAGGGTAGGTCGCATTTATAGTTTAGAATTGGTCATATTTGGACAATAGCATTGGTTACATTTGGTGTAGGATTAGTCATATTTAGTATTGGTCATATTTGGACAATAGTATTGGTTACATTTGGTGTAGGATTGGTCATATTTAGTATTGGTCATATTTGGACAAAAGTATTGGTTACATTTGGTCCAGGGTAGGTCGCATGTGGTGTAGGATTGTTCGTATTTAGTATTGGACATATTTGGACAATATTATTGGTTACATTTGATTTAAGATTGGTCATATTTAGTATTTTTCATATTTGTACAATAGTATTGGTTACATTTGGTGTAAGATTGGTCATATTTAGTATTGGTCATATTTGGACAATAGTATTGGTTACATTTGGTGTAGGATTGGTCATATTTAGTATTGGTGATATTTGGACAATAGTATTGGTTACATTTGGTGTAGGATTGGTCATATTTAGTATTGGTCATATTTGGACAATAGTATTGGTTACATTTGGTCCAGGGTAGGTCGCATGTGGTGTAGGATTGGTCATATTTAGTATTGGTGATATTTGGACAATAGTATTGGTTACATTTGGTGTAGGATTGGTCATATTTAGTATTGGTCATATTTGGACAATAGTATTGGTTACATTTGGTCCAGGGTAGGTCGCATGTGGTGTAGGAGTGGTCGCATTTAGTATTGGACATATTTGGACAATAGTATTGGTTACATTTGGTGTAAGATTGGTCATATTTAGTATTGGTCATATTTGGACAATAGTATTGGTTACATTTGGTGTAGGATTGGTCATATTTAGTATTGGTGATATTTGGACAATAGTATTGGTTACATTTGGTGTAGGATTGGTCATATTTGGACAATAGTATTGGTTACATTTGGTCCAGGGTAGGTCACATGTGGTGTAGGATTGTTCGTATTTAGTATTGGACATATTTGGACAATAGTATTGGTTACATTTGATTTAAGATTGGTCATATTTAGTATTGGTCATATTTGGACAATAGTATTGGTGACATTTGGTCCAGGGTAGGTAAAATTGTATTCTAGATTAAAATACCTAATTAAGGTTTTATTGGTGGGTTTGAAAGTACACCCGAATGTCACGTGATTAATCAGTTTAAGGCCTAATCTTGCCAATTACCCGGTGTGGGTCATTCCAGCATATTAATTGTTAGCATTTGCCACCATATGTGACCTAAAATATCTAGGTTGCTGGGACCAGGGAAAAGGCGCATGATAATGTAGTAGCCCACGATGGTACACTTGTACTTTTGCCAAGATTGCCAAATGTGAACATTTTTACTACAAGGTCTTCGGATACCTACATTTAAATAACTGTATTTGTCGTGTTACAGAATGCTCAAATATGGATCAGGTTTTTGAATTGAAATGCCAAGGTGGGTAATACATTTGGTACAATTTCTTGGAGTAACTGAATCTAGATAACTGTATTTAAGTGAATCTGGCGTGTCGTGGAATTGTCAAATAATGGATAACGTTTATTCATTGTAATACAATGTCCTTATATTATGGAACGAAAAATACGGATAATATTGTCACTACAATGTCTTGGAATTCCCAAACATGGACATGTATTTTCTCTTAATAAACTGTCTTTTGATGGCTGAAAGCTCGAAAAGGGTTAAAATGTGAATAAAAAACCCCAATATATACAATATCGTGGGATGCCAGATATGGAACACGTTTTGCTACAATACAGTTAGGTTATACCGGAGGAATACGGCAAAGTACACACGAAGGCAGTACGGCGATCGTATGATGCATTCTCGTACCGTCTGAGAGCATACTTTGCGGTATTCTCTTGACAGCCTTATTATACACATTTTCCCTGCTTGTTAACAACCCGCAACAGCAACGAAAATTGTTTTGCGCTCTGGGTATCTTCCATTCTATTCCATACAATGTCCTAGTATGATTCAGAATGTGTATAATAAAATGACACTAGTCTTGGCACACACACACACATATAGAGAAATATGTTTATGGAAATAAACCTTTTTATTTAGTTGAAATACTTATAAAAAATAAACTATGACATGCTTTCTAGATTTATTATATTCACCTATTTCTATATCTATATGCGGTATTACAAAATAGTTGCTGATGGACCCGTGTAAATCGTTTGAAACTGAGAAATAATTGTACTTCTCAAGTGACTGAAAACAAATGAATATATATTACTATCGTATGACACTAATCTCATTATGTATGTGTCTATTTCCTAAAACAGTCCATAAATCACTCATCTGTCAATTCCCGTTTGCTAAGAGATAGCTGCTGTTTATCCACGTGTCATTGTAAAAACAATGTCATTGTAAAAACAATCGCAATGATATTTATACAGAACTTGACAGTTAAAGTTAGTAGGACTGCAATTTAGTCGCCAGAGATTTCAGCTGTACCCTTTGAAAGTCAGCGAGTACAAGCAAACCACTATGTGGTGTTATCACCAGGCGGGTTTTAGCCAGCCACCTGTTCACCTCTCAATTTAGACAGGCACTGTATATTTTTGACAGGTACAAAATTACATTTGACAGGCAAAATTGTCTACAGACCTGACCAATTTTTATTAAAAATTACTAGTCGGAATTACAAAAATAACCATAAATTACATTAATTTTAAATTTGTGGTTATAAAATCGGTACTGAACACATTAATTTCATGAAATCCATCAACGCGAATGGTTTATACTATCCATTAAACACAACTGATCGTGTCAGATATCACCAGCGTGAAAACACTCAAGGTTGTTTATGAAGTTCAAACGACGACACGATTGAATGAATATTGTCTGAGAATGAATACGTACCGCTGAAAACATGTCACTCTTTGGTGAAAAGGTCGGTCAAGCGGCAATTGTGGCAGTCATGGATTAAAAGACATTTTCTGCGGGGAACAAAACAGCGAGGACGAAGATACCTGAGGACCACGCGTTTTGTATACAAAGTAATTGTCACGTGACTACCATTGAATTGAAATAAATTAAGTAATCGCTAGGCGTTGTTGTCAGTTGTCTTGGATTTAGTTAGAGGTTGCATATCGGCCGACGACGACGTTGAAAATATATAAAATCACCAGGTATGACAGTATTTTGTTGTTTTTAAACTTTCGTGGATGGTGTTGACGGTGAGTAATTTGTCACTGTCGTGCATCTTCACGGTCCTACAACCCAATATTCATCCATTGCAGTACTAGTATTTTTCGACCATGGAGCTAAAAACATCTTTTTTTTTTAGCTCCATGGTTCGATACAGCTGCGTGGTGCTGGATTATGCCATTGGGCACTCGCTCGGACTATAAGGTATTATAACGAGCTTTAGTTTTATATTTAATGCATGCAATTCGAACAAAACGAAAGGAGTGAACAAGAATACGCTATGGTGCATGGTACAACTGGTATACCACGTACCAGGAGGTATTTGTTTGGTGGCACGGCCATGCACAAGGTTAAGGTTACATGTATATGTATGAAACATATTTTAGTAGAACGGCGTTGCGTTCGATGCAATATACTAGCAGTGGAAACGTTGCAATGCGTAATTTATCGCGTTCAAAACTCTACAGTTTTGTATAAGTTGTCAATATGGGAATTTTAATTATCATCTGGT